GGAAGGGTGTGGAGGGCACCACCCAGCCTGTTGGAGGAGGATGGGAGTGAAACCAACAGATGTGCTCAAGGTTTGATTTTCAGTTCCCCAAAAGGTCTTTTCCTTGACCATAGCAGTGTGACCGTTGCCATGACAGTTGCTATCTTGGTCCCTGGGACTCTCCCTCAAAAGGTGGCATTACTTTTTTAATCTTCTTAGGCCAGTCACTATGAAACTCGATACTAACCCACCTGGGGTGGGGATGGGTGGGAGGCATGGCTGGGGCCTGAGCACTGGGATGGTGGAAGATGTTGGGGCACTAAGAGGGACCTTTGGTTCAGGAGTTATTTTTCCAAACTAGACCAATACTCCTAGTTGTTTTAGGCTTGGCTGACTCTCCATTTTTGCAGAGCACCATGGATTTCTCTCCTGAGATGTCTGTAATTAGCTTGTTGTTCCATCTGCTAACAGATGGGAAGAACTCTGGCCTTAAGTCTCAGTCTATTTCCAGGTGACGGGGCCATGCCATCCAGCCTCTGCTCTTCAATCTCCTGACCTGACTTCCAAGTTCTTTCCTGAAGACTCAGTGATTCTTGCACTTGATCTTAGCCAAAAGGCCAAGAAGCGATAGACTCAGTGATTCTTGGTCCCTGAGAATGGCAGCTATGAATAGCAGTTAAGAAGGGACCACACTGTGTTTTACAATTTGGGCTCTTAATCAGGCTGCCTGAATTTGAGGCCTGAATTTTGGTATTTCCTGATTGTGTGGCCTTGGGTACAGTATTTACACTAAGTTCTTAGTTTCCTTATCACACAGACTGCCCGTGGAGTTGTTGGAAGATTCAGTGACACAATCTCTGTCAGTGTAGAGACATTATAGGCATTGCATTATTATAAAGTGAAAACCTGGTACAAGCTGGCATTTGTTGAGCCAACAGGAGTATAGTAAAGGTCTTCTCTTGTACAAAGAGTACAAAAAGTACATTTTTGTTTCCTACCTTGACCATCCATGTTTTATTATAGTGTCATAGTTTGGAGGTTGTTCCTTATTTGTTCTTCGAGCTTGTGGTGAAATTAAAGCTTGTATATTTTCCTGAGAAAGACTCACAGAGAGGGAAGACCTTCATTCACCATCCAGTCCAATCTTTTTGTTAATTTTAGAGTTGATTGAGGCCTAACTGTTACTATGACAATTATTGAAAACCTCCACAGAATCTGCCATGAGATTCTGAGAAACTATGAGAAAGACATGGTGGTTTGGGCTTGATAACCCTGGTTTAAGTTAAAGTCCTACATCTTATGAACTCTGTAATTCTAAGCACACTACATAACCTTTCTTAGCCTGTTTCCTCATCCATGAGGCAAGGGTAATACGTACCTCAGTGTGTGGGGTAAGAATCAAGGTAGTTATACAGGTGACACAATGGCAGTACCCTCCTCTCTGCCTCCTCTGCTCCATGTGTCTGTCATTACCGTCATCCCTTTCTTCCTCTATGCAGAGAATCTTGCTGGATTCAGGGATACAGAATGTTCTAGAGTTAGGAGGTAGAACCTTCTCTTAAGAGACAAGTAACCACACCTTAGGGGTAGTAAGAGCTATTCAAATCCTGAGAAGATATTGATAGGTAAATGGAGGGGTAGAAAGGCTAAGAGGAGCTAAGAGGAGGGACATGAAGTGTCCATGGGGGTTTTTCCCATGCCAGCGGTCTCTAAGAATTCAGGGAAGGAGTTGCCACATGGAGCCTGGGGAGAGGAAGAGGCAGATAGTAAGGGGATTGACTCCCTTGTGAATTTCACTTTTCTCCATCTTCTTTTAGCTTCTCCCTGCCCAGAGCTTTTACTTATGTACTTCAGTCCACAAAGTCTTCCTGAATTGCTAAAGCTGCACAATCTAAATTCTACGCATTTATTGGAGGAGTCATTCCTGGCCTGTCTGAGGACCTCTCTGCATTAGTCCACATGGACACTGTCTTCTCTTCTGTCCCTAGGCGAACCACCCATGTTCCTAGTGAGAGGCAGCACCTCCACCTGTGCTCTACCCCATCTCACCTACTCAAGGACATCACTCTAGAATTTTTCTCTTGTCTCTCCTGCAAGCATCAGATTTTCCTCTGTACTGGATTATTTTCATTAGCATTCAAAAAGGTTGTCATTTCTCTTCTTCCAGATACTGCCTTTTTCTAACTATTTCCTCCAAAGAATTTGCCATGCACACTGTTTCCAATTTCTTTACTCCCATTTTCTTTTGAACCATTCTGATCAGACTTTCGCCTCTCCCATTCCATAGACACTGGTTTATTGAGTTCACTAATGACCCCCACATCTCTAAATCCAAAGGTTCATATTCATTCCAGTTGACACAGTTGATAACTGATCAGTTTCTCCTCCTTGTAACATTTCCTCTCTTGGATTCTAGGACAACACCACTTTCTTGATCTTCCTCCTTCCCTAGCCAATGCTTTTCAGTTTTCTTTTGTGATTCTTCCTCATCACTAATTTCTTAATGTTGGAGGGCCTCCCAGATCAGTGCCTGGATTTCTCTATCCCCACTTGCTTGCCAGGTACTGTCTCACGTCTGATGGCTTTTAACACCATCTGTATGATGATGACACTACATTTATGCCTCTAGTGCTGACCTCTCTCTTCTACATTACAGGATCTTATATCCAGTTGTCCAACTATCATCTCTGCTTTTGTCTGATATGCATCTCAGACTTAGCACATCCAAAATGGAGCTCCTAAGGCTTCTGTAATCAAGGCAGTGTCTATTGGTATAAGGATGGATGAATAATAGATCATGGAATGGAATAAAGATCTTAGAAATAGACACAACTTTGTGGTCAGTTGTTTTTCAACAAAGGTATCAAAGCACTCCAACTGGAAAAAGGGGCTAAAAAAATTATGACTGGAGAATAAGTTGAAGGAACCCCTTGAAGGAAATCAAATAGTAGCCAAATGCAGCTACTTTTATGATGGTGACTAATGCTTACACCTCCCTTGATATACGCTATGATGGGTGTTTAGCACTTCACATGAATTATTTCATTTACTTTTTTACAGCAGTCTTACAACTAAGACTTTCAGATAAGAAAACTGAGGCCCAAAAGTCAAATAACTTTCTGTTATAACTTGTGAGCATATTTTCCCAGGCAATTATAGACAAACAATGCTGTGGGAAAATAGCATAAAAATTTGTTCAATGCATCTGGCCAGGCTCATGGTAACAGCTGACTTGACCCCTAGTGCTAACTCACCTGCGCTCACCCAGTGGGGAGAGAGCACAGAGTCCCTGGCTTCTGTCTCTGAGATTCAGCTTCAGATCCAGAGTGGCCACTGATTTAGTTTGGTAAAACATTAGGTCGCACCTTGTTCATTTTTATTTTTATTTATTTATTTTTTAAAAATATTTATTTATTCAGAGAGAGAGAGAGGGGCAGAGACACAGGCAGAAGAAGAAGCAGGCTCCATGCAGGAAGCCTGACGTGGGACTTGATCCCAGGTCTCCAGGATCACACCCCGGGCTGCAGGCGGTGCTAAACCATTGCACCACCGGGGCTGCCCCTTGTTCACTTTTATAACATCCCCCCTCTTCCTCCCCTCAGCACAGTTTCCTAGGCTGAATGGCACCTTCTGGGCAGAGCACATGAAAAGAAGAGAGGCCTCAGGAAGATGGCATGTTTGACCCTTTGTTCTGTGCAGCACCATGATCACTGGAAGCCAGAATTATATAGGTTTCTGGAGAGCAGAGTTAGGCAGGTGGGAATTTGAACCTGGGCCCACTATTGACCAGCAGTGGAGCCCTGCTCTTAGCCTCTCTTATCTGTAAACTGAGTATAATATATTTCTTGATGTGAACTTATTTTTAATTTATTTCTTGATGTGAACAGTGTACAGATTATAATATAATTGTACAGCTTGACAATTTTTTTTAAAAAAGATTTTATTCATTTGTTCATGAGAGATGCAGGGAGGGAGTCAGAGACACAGGCAGAGGGAGAAGCAGGCTCCTTGAGGGGAGTCCGATGTGGGACTCGATCCCGGTACTCAGAGACCATGCCCCGAACCAAAAGCAGATGCCCAACCGCTGAGCCACCCAGGTGCCCCAACAGATTTTCACAACGTGGCACACGTTTCTTAACAAAACTCCAGAAGCCCCTTCCAGGCTCCTGCTAGGCATTACCTCACCCCATGCTCAGAAGTAATCCCCATCTCATTTTCTAATTGTATTTTTAACTGGTTTTGAACTTTAGATAAATGAAAATACAAAGAATATATCTTTTTGTGTTTTTTGTTTTTTGCTTATTTTCATGTTTATGAGATTCATCTATGCCACTGGGTATAGTTATAATTTTAAAATTCTCCTTCTGTAATAGTATTTCAGTGTGTTAACATACTACAGCTTAGTGACCCATTCTTATTATTGGTGGGCATGTGGATTATTTTTTGTATTTGGTTTTTCTAAATGAAGGAGCTTTGAAAATTTTTGTATAGGTTTTTTGGACAGAAACGCAGTTATCTAAGAGTGGGATTGCTAGGTTATACTGTATGAATCTCTCTCAGCTTTCTAGAACTTGCCCAACATTTTAATGAACATTTTTAACTTTGTAGTGTAATAAGATTTAAATTAGGTTGTGGAAAGCGTTCACTGTGGTCTTTGGCAGACAGATCATGTTCCGTTAAATTGAAGGGCCATAATGGACTTTAACATTTCCTTATTGCTTGTTCATTTAGATCATTTCCATTGTCTTGCTATTTTATATAATATTAGAGTGAATGACTCTTGAGAGATGTTTCTTTCTTTCTTTCTTTTCTTTTCTTTCTTTCTTTCTTTCTTTCTTTCTTTCTTTTTTTTTTTTTGAGAGATGTTTCTTTTGGAAAAGTTTGCTTTTGGTAAATTCTCCTGGTAAGTTCAACTGGATAAACTGGATAAACTCAATATTTAGTTCTGTAGAAGATAAACTGAGTAATTGGAAAAAAACCCAATGTATAACAATCATTAAATCAGGAAGAACAGGGATAGCACAGGTGCAACAATTCACTTTATTTATTCCTTTTCCCCCAGATACCATTAGCATTGTTAAAGCCCAAGACGGGGAGGTGGGGAGAAGGGTGGTGCCTGCAACAGGGGTGGGTCTCTGATGGGGAAAGGGCCCAAGGCCTGAGCTAGGAGACAGGAAGGCTAGGCCTGAGGGGCAGGTGGTGGGGCCTGTTAGTCCACTCTCTGACACTCGCTCCTTTGGAAGCTCTTGATGAGGGTGGAGGGCAGGCTCTTGTGAGTGATCTCACAGGAGTACAACTCATGACTTAGGTACTCAGTACTGGACATCGTCAGGGTGCTGCTGAGGCTGTAGGTACTGTCCTTGTCCTGCTCTGTGACACTTTCCTGGATGCCTGTGTCTTGGATGACACCATCCACTTTCCACTTGACATTGATGTCTTTGGGGTAGAAGCTATTCAGCAAGCACACAACAGAGGCACTTCCTGTGTGTAACTGCTCTGGAGATGGTTGGAACAAATAGACGGCTGGCTGGGCATCATTCCCTGCAGAAGGAAGCACACAGAATGGTCGTTAAGTAACAAGGAAGTTCTCCACTTGGATGTACTGTTGGTGGGCAACCCCAGGGCCCAGAAAGGACAGACAGAGCAGCTTATTCTGTGTGGCAATGAGGGAGGCCAAGAAACAGATTTATAATCTCCACAATCTTGAGTTTCTCTCGAGTTCCCACCTCTTAAGAAAGTTGTAAATTGTTTTGTTTCAATCTTTGCAGCCATTTAAAGGACTTTTTGCTCTTCTGACCTCACCTTACTGCCTCCTGCAGTAAACACAAGTGTTTCAGGCAAAGAAACAAAGGCCATTTCATCTGACCGCCCTCAGAGTTTAGAATTAAAACTAGGTCTTGGACCCCTTTACACAGATCATTTCCCCCATGCCTCTCCCAGAACCGTGCAGTGGTGGCAGGCTGCCTCTTCTTTTTTTTTTTTTTTTTTTAATCAGTTTTTTAATTTTTTTTTTTTTATTTATGATAGTCACAGAGAGAGAGAGAGAGAGAGAGAGAGACAGAGACAGAAGCAGGCTCCATGCACCGGGAGCCCGACGTGGGACTCGATCCCGGGTCTCCAGGATCGCGCCCTGGGCCAAAGGCAGGCGCCAAACCGCTGCGCCACCCAGGGATCCCCAGGCCGCCTCTTCTTTCCTGGGTTTTCTTTGAATGTATCAGGGCCAACCCCACCCGATAGTGTGATTCTAAGCCCTCGAGTCTGTGCTTGGGTTGGGGTGCAGCCCTGTCACCCTCTGTGATCAGGCCGGCAACTCTTCCACCTCTCACAAAGGCCTGGAAGAAAGACAGAGCCCTGGTCTGATGGCTGACATCATATGGGACTATAGTAGACCAGACCTAGGGGGTCAACTGTAATTTTGGCCACCTGCCTATGGAGGAACTGCCTAGCTTCAGTTCTGACCATGAACAGCTGTCAGATGGCCTCCTGGAAATCCCCACTGTGGGCAGTCAGGCTCTCTGGTGGGAGAGCAAGAGCTACAATAACAAATCAAGAATCCTTTGCTGGAAGAATATAGCATATAAGTGAACAGGTTTTTATAAAGCTAACCTCCATTAACTGAGCAGTTCAACCTAAGATACTGAACTTTTTATGTTTTGATAGGTTTTTCTCTTTTAACCTTCATCACTAATTTTTTCAGAGAATTTTATAGAATAGCTTTGGCAGCAAGCTTATGTGAATTCTATGAAAAAAGGAGGGAGCATATTCTATGAAGATACTCCTATCTGGGCAAATCCTTAACACCTTTAAAATATCCAGCCTGCCTTAAAACATTAAACAATTAGCACATTTGATATCAAAATTCTTACAAGACACTTTATTAGCTTTTAATAGAGTTTAAAATTTGTAAGAGTTTTTAAAAGGCTCTAAGATAGTTTTAAAATAGTTTAAGATCGATCCTTACATAGTTTAAATAGCTCTAAGAGAGTTTTCAGAGTTTTAAAACAGCCCTAAAAAATCCTATTTAATTGTTGCAGACCAAAAATAAACTTTCTTAAGCATCACTTTTGAAATCAGCTGAAGTAAGCAGCAAAAACATTACTAACCTATTTTAGAGGGTATGGGATTAGAATAACCAGATTAAAATTTTTCTATCACAGAAGGAAGGTATTGGAAAATCCATTTATATTAAGTTTTTATTAATGGTATTACTCTATGATTAGATATTTTGTACAACTTAAATATAATCCTTCCCAAGCCATTACATTTTTGAAAATTAAAAAAGAATTATCTTTTCGCTAATGGCGTTTAATGCGAACTCAGTAAAAAGTTGATCAAAACTGCTGTGGACAGAGGGCCTTAAATGAGATTTTTGCTGGAAAGGATTTTACCCTGCAGGAGTTACATATCCTTCTTTCTTTTGGATTGAGCTTTTGTTATTTAAATACATATGAGGAGAGGATTTTGAAATAGTTACACGTCATTAAAAAAAGTAGCTTTAAGTTTTTTATAAAAAATTTTCATTAAGAGGCTATAATAATGAATGTGAATTTTAGTTCTGAAATCTCTAATACATCAGACTTCTTTTCCCCTTTCTTTCCGTATTAGCTCAGCGGCCACCACATTTCTATTCTTTTCTGTTAGTGCCATTATTTGTATCACTGTGTCGAGAAAACCGCCACAGCAGAGTGGAACAGGCTAACGTGGCATGGCCGTGGCCTTTAGCCGTTAGGCACACCGCCACATGGGCGCTATGGCCAAGGTCACGAAAGTCATTCAGTCCTGACAAAAGACCGCCATGAGGTCTACAGATCACATAGCCATGCTGTGGCCTCTTTGGCGGTATGAAAAAATGGCCAAGTAATAACGAGGGAAATAAAAGAACACATTCAACTATTTAGTATTTTTCTACAAGTCACTGGGCATTTAAAACATGCAATTATTATATTTTCCTTCATTTAAACAAATTTCTTAACAACTTAGATTTTGGCAACAACTGTCTTTTTCACCATTATGATAAGAAATCATTTCATGTTTAGTCTAATATAGAAACTGGATTTTTAAAAGGCGGCATCTATGGAATTCTACAGAAATTCTCTGTAGAATTTCTGAATATTGACAGTTTATCACTCATTTTAGACATTAAAGATTACATTGCTGATGGTTCTCAAGCTGTATCTTTTTTCATGGCAAACGGGTATACTTTTCTAACTTCTTACTGACTTTTCATGCATGCATTCTGTTGATTTTGTTATCTTATAATTTATCAGAGGAGGGATCCCTGGGTGGCGCAGCGGTTTAACGCCTGCCTTTGGCCCAGGGCGCGATCCTGGAGACCCAGGATCAAGTCCCGCGTGGGGCTCCCTGCATGGGGCCTGCTTCTCCCTCTGCCTGTGTCTCTGCCTCTCTCTCTCTGTGTGTGACTATCATGAATAAATAAATAAAATATTAAAAAAATTTATCAGAGGAGAGAAAATAGACTAAGAAATAAATTTCTCTCCTGTGTCATACGCAATGGGCAGAAATCAATATAACATTTGGCAAAACTCAATGAAAATTAAATTGCTTTTTCTCTTTAGCTCCAAAGATTCTTTTTCATCTAAACTAAGTTTTCCCCCTTTGAATCATGCAATTTAGATTAAATTAATTAAATTAACTAGTCTACAAATCCATTTTTGCAACTGAGTTTAACGATAAAAAATTGACGATAAATCTGAAATTGAGTCTCATGTACCCAGCTGCACAAAATTCATACCTAAGGCCCTAAAAATCAGTTGGCATTTAGACCCAAATCTCAACAAGCAATAGAGAAAAAATTACTTACGTTTAATCTCCAGATGTGTCCCTTTGCCAAAGGTGATCCACTGTATTAGCTTAACTAATTTCCCCTCAGCAAAAACCTCTATGTGCTGCTAAGCTCGTTAGATTGACGGATAGAGAGAAAATCTGGCCATTTAGATGCCACGTCAACCAACTAGCTCTTTGCTCTTCCTTGAGACAAACTGATTTTCAGTACCTTACTCATCTGATTTTCAGAAGGATCCCTTTCTCTTCGGAATTGATCTCATCTCACATCCCACACACGAAAACCCCCAAATTTCACAACTCTACAAGAAAAAGGACTCGAAAAGTGCACTTACGTCTGATCTCCACCTTGGTCTCTTGGCCGAACGTAAGCCACAGTGATGGCTCTGACACTTAACCTTAACAAAAATACTCCTTCTGACTCCAATCATAGAAGAAAGGCCAATTCAGAGAAAAATCCAGCTATTTCCCATTCTCCAACACAAAGCCTATTCTCATCACAAACTCAACAGTTTGTGTCTTTGCTTAGCTGAAAAGTTGGCTATTTTCTGATTTTCTACTATTTTGGGTCACCAGGAATGGCTCATTTTACCAAAATGTCACAAACTTGAACAAATGATACAACAGGACAGAAACCTCACAAATAATTGAGCAAATGTGTACTTACGTTTGATCTCCAGTTTGGTCCCTTGGCCAAAAGTGAACCACAGTGATTCCCTTAACCTCTATCTCTACAAAAACCTTCCTTGAAAAGGTAGCAAACCTCTCTCCCCATTTACACTAAATTTTGATTTGGAAATCTTAACAATTAGTTCTCAGCTAGTCTCCAGTGGAATAATTTCCCTCCTCTCTACTTAATCTGGAAATGAAATTTGTTTTATCCCTGACATGTAACTAATTAGAACACATGAAAGGGGGAGGGGGAAGCAAACCCATTAGACAGAAATAGTGAAGAATTGGCTGAAAAAAATACTTACGTTTTATCTCCAGCTTGGTTCCCTGGCTGAAAGTGTAAACACAATAGTTCCTCCTAACTTCCCTCTTGTACAAAAACGGAGTTTCCTTTTCTGACAATTGAGCAAGGCTCTCTTTCGAACATATACTTATGCTTGCCAGTACAATTCTGAAACTATCGCTTAGACAAGTTATTCTCACTCATTGACTGAGTCTTGTTCTTCACAGAAAATGGGAGACCAATTTTCACGTTTGTTTACATCCTCTGTTCTGGAGGATGTCGGAGCCTGGCCCAAAGCTTATATAGATCACAGGTACGGGGACGGAAAGACACAGACAAGTGAGGAGGGAAGGTTTGGATTTTACTCACGTTTGAGCTCCACCTTGGTTCCTGCTCCGAACGTCCACCACAGTGATAGCTCCTCATTGTGTCACTGGGCAAAAACCCTCCTCACTGAAGGGGAACCGAGCTCTGGGTCAGCTGCTGAAGCTTCACTCTGTTTCCCAGCAGGTGAGGAAAGCCCAGGACTTCCCTGACAGAGATTATTTCCTTAAATGAGATCTAAAATCCTGAAGAGGATGTATTTCTTGTGTCTGTGGCCCGATGGTCCCCTTCTTTAGCAATCTACCATATTATATGGATGGGTATTTATTTATTCACTCATTTACTCATTGGAAAGTAGGCTGAACGTGAATTACAAAGAAAACTAACAAGTTTTAAAACCTGCACTCTTTTATGCCTTCTCTTGGCATGGGGGGCTGTTGCAAATGATGAACTTCATTCAAGTGTAATTATGGGATTCTAGTTTCTCTCAGTTAAGAATAATTAAAGAATGTCTTCCTATTTGAACCTCTCCTTTGCCATGATGTTGTTTCAAAAAACATCTGATATACATTATATATCACATCAAGGCCCATGTTTCACTTTTTGAAATGTATTTTGACATTAAGCTATAGATGACACGTGCAAAGATCAATAGAGATTTTCTTTCTTTCTTTCTTTCTTTCTTTCTTTCTTTCTTTCTTTCTTTCTTTCTGAGTGCTAGCAGAGGGAGGGGCAGAGGGAGGACTCTGTGCTGAGCACTGAGTATGGAGCCTGAAGCAGGGCTCAATCCCATGACCCTGAGACACGGAGACCAGGACCCCAGATGAAACTAAGAGCTGGACGTTCAACAGATTGAGCCACCTGGACACCCCTAAAACAAAGATCAATAGAGTAAAAAGTACACCTTACATAGTCAATTGTCTGTTGTCAGAGGGGTATGCACCATGTTCAATGAGTTGAACCAAGTGCACACTGTCTTTGGAGCTGCTAGGGAATCATGGCATGACATGGTGTTTCCACAATAACCCCATCAAGGATACTGAAGATCTCGTTTTAAGTGCAGCTTCATTAAATGCAGTCTTGTTTCCCTCTTAACCTTTCATCTCCACCAGAGCATACATTCCTCCCACCATCCTCAATTCCTTACAGTTCTTCTATGGCTTCCAGCTCTTATAAAGCTCTCTCTCTGCTTGGAAACACCTTTGCTCACCCGCATTAGCTTGTGAACAATGAGTTCTTTCAAAATTCAAATCAAGAGACTTTCTTTGAGATTATCCCCCAGCGAGTGACTCCACTTTGCAGAGCATAGAGGCAGATCTTGAACCAACCCCTAATTTTTCTTATCTGCTGTCAGATTCTTTCCACCCTACTGGATTGTTCGTTGTTTGATGTTTCATTGTCTTGTATTTGGAAAGTCCAGTCTGCATCTTTACTTGGCAAATGTTCAACAAACATTTGCAGAATGAATTAAAAAAAAAAAACCCTGACAATGAATAGTTGAAAAACAATAATGGACCAGAGCTAATAAACTACGATAGACCAAGGACTAATACTGACCACTACAAATAGTAAGTTTAACAAGAGAAATTGTAACTGTAATTCTGAAGGGTAGGGGTAAATTTCCTTGATTCTGTCACTAAGAGTTGTGCTATTGTCTTTAATAGCAAAATCAACAACGAATCTTACCAGACGATGAGGAAAGACAGGAATCTTGGAGGTAGAGAGAAGAGAGGAGTTGGCAAGTGGACAGTTAGTGTGCAAAATAGCTGACTGAGGACATAGTCAACATAGATCCTAAAGAGGATAGAGTGATTTTCTTTGCAGAGATATAAGCAATACAAATCATTGTACTTGACATTTATTGAGCACTTACAAAGTGTCAGACATTGTGCATGCATAATACTGATTTTACTGAGGAAAGGCAAAGTGTCAATAAACTAGTCAGAGATTCTTTGTACATAAGAGTGTTGGAAATAGAAATTTGGGGGGAGCATTCCAACAAACTCATCATTGAAGCTATTTCCCATTTGGCCCCCAGCAAAGTTAGATTCTAAGAATAAATTCTAAACTGCTTGTGGAGAAGAGAGAGAGAGAGAGAGAGAGAGAGAGAGAGAGAAAGGGAGAGTGAAAATGAGAGAGACACTGAATGCCCACCTGTAAGTCATCCTGAAAACTATTGGTAAACTGTCTTACTTCTTTCTTCACATCAAACTTTTCAAGAAACACCACTTTTACTTTTTATTTGGCATAATTAACCAGCCTATTTGGAGAGGTCCACCTCACTTACACCTAGCTTATCAGGGACACGTGGCATAATTTTGCTCTTTCCAAGGTTTAAGAGATGGCAGCTTCCTTACCTGGCTCTGGAATATTTGTGTCTGATAATCCATCTTGAAGTCCGTGGTTCAATATTTTTTCTAGCTCATCAATCACAGTAGAGTCCAAGGTAGGTGATTGTTTTTATTTATTTCAGCTTGACTCTTCCGGAGGATTGTGATGGCTGTCATTTGTACTTGCTTTAAGCTGATATCCCACAGGTGAAGACAAAATTCTGGAGTCCACATTCAGTGTTGCCTAGAACTCGATCAATTGCCAGTCTTCCAGCTAGAGTGCCATAAACTGACATCTATCCTGAATTCCTAAGGGGTAAGGATGGCCCCATAGCTGAGAGGAAAGGAGACAGAGGAGGTGACTTGAGAAATTCCTGCTTCCTTGCTGTTTTGGAGCTGAATATGTTTCCACTCATCTCTGAAGAAAGAGGTGCTGAGAGAAGCAAAGTCCTTTGCCCAAACACGTGCATATGTTTGTGCCATAAACATGACCCAAGATTTTGGACCTGCTTGGGAAAATATAGATGCTTGTCATGTTTCCAAGAAGACATTCAGGCTGCAGATACTCTCTGACTTGAAAGAGTGAAAGAGAAAAGAGCAGTGCCAGTGCCAGGTTTTATTATCCTGTAGAGGCTCAGCCACCCAGATTTACATATCAAGTGTTGTGATTTCTGGTTAGTTATACACAGGTGATGAGTCCCTTGAACTCTGCCCTGGAGTTTCCTGTCCGCCTTCGTTTGTCCCCTTGGCATCTAACCCTAGCCGTATGTCCTCTCTCATCCTACCACTGAGAAACCCATCCTGGACAACTAATGTGAATGGGCTAGCTCTGGATGCATTTGTGAAATTGATGATGAATTCAGGCTTGGTTCTTCCTACGTTTTTTTCTTCTTTGTTGTCAAACCTTCAAGTCTCTCATGGGCCCTCTTCTACTCTTCTCCCTGCTGGCTCAGGACCCCGCCCTGACTGGCACCCATCCCCCATCTACCACCCAGTCTTGCTCATAATGGGTAAGGATCTGAGCTTTGGATCTTTCCTGCCCACTGTCTGACATTGCCTCAAACCTTCTATGTACAGTTCTGATCCCATACAGTAAGATTCCAATCCCTCTCTGCTTTCTGTTCCCATTAGCTCTCTTTGGTCCAGTTCCTATGGGTCACTTGGTTACCACTTGACCTAATCCTGTGCTGCTCTGCTTCCTGCCCTATTATTTCTGTCCTTGTGTGTAAAATAATATTCTAAAAAATCTTTTTTTGTCTTTTAGGTTTTCTTTTCTTTTCTTTTCTTTTTTTTTAACAACCAGCATTGTTATAGATGTATGTATACATGTATGTGTTTGATCCATCATCTTAATTTGGGTCCTCCTTTAATTGGCTCCTTTGAATTCTAAATAGGGTTAAACTAGGCTGGCTTTTATCTCTCCCTCCCATCCTAACCAGCATATACATTTAAGGGCTATTTGTCTTGTAATGGTGAAAGAGAAAGCACAGATCATTCCCTTCTCCATCCTCCTCCTTCCCACCCCCCAAAGTCCTAATTATCTTGGCTGATACCCAGAGTTCTGAACAAGACAGAGGATGGGAAGAGGGTAGGCCTACAGAAAAACAAACACACAAAAATAGCAAAATGGAAACCCAGCTAATTGAAACAAAGAATAATTGGACTTTTAAGTTGAATATAATGGATCTGTCTACCACTTGCTCAAAATCTCCCTTGCAATTACAGAATATAAAAATGAGAAGAAATTTATGTTGTGGTTGGAGAATCATGAAGGGTCTGATCAGCAGAAAAAAGACATTTGTGGAAAATCACAAAGATTTATTTTTTTTTAAGATTTAAATTCTGTGATTGAATTGAGGGAGAAACTGAGATCTAGAACCATCCATTCAATTACAAAAATAAGAGGGGTGCTTGGAGTAGCCAATACTAGTTTTCCCCACAAAGCCCTGGAAAACACACATCTCAGACTTATCAGGGACCAGGCTTGGCGATGGGATAACGGTGGGATGGGTACACTGACCAAAGTGGGGTAACACCTAGGCTGCCTCCACTGAGCTTGCACTGACCCTTCAGGCCATGGGGATAGTGATGGATATAAAAAGGAATAAAGTTACAGGCATTCAAAAGCAACAGGATAAAAAATTTTCTGGCAACTAGGAGAAAAAAATGGACAAAGAAAATTAAACCAATCTAGCAAAATTCAGGAAAAGGAAATAAAAGATAAAGAGGAAAGTATTAGGTAAATAGAAATATAAAATAAGGTGGAAAGACTAAGTCCTAATAAAACAATCACAAACTATAATAAATGCTGTTAAGTTATTCAAACTTGAAAATGAGGCAAAAAGATGACTATCAACAAATAATCTCTCCTTGACCGAACTCTACTCAGGGTCCTCTGAGCTCTTTTCTTAAGTGGGCACTAAATTTTGGGCTTCTGGGTTCATCTTTGCATTGTCCAATTTTAGCAAGAATCCTGCTAAGTTAGTATAACTGGAATCCCCCTCCTTGATACCTGACTGTGGTCGACATCTGATGGGCTTCTTCAGCCTTCACCATCCCCAAGCAATGTCTTGTCACCCTGGCTTACCTTCAGCAAGAATCCTGTTAGGTCAATTTAATCAGATCCTTCCTTAAACTGAGTGTTTTCTCTTAGCCATTTTCCAGCTATTGGCTACAAATTCCCACTTCTCCTTGAATTGGAATGGGGTCCAATCTCTCCCTCCCACTGCAGAACCTCATTGCAGTGGTCC